ATTTGGACAAAAATCATTATCAGCAATATAATGTGGTAATTTAATTAAGTAAAAAATATATATTATTCCGATATACCTTCTCCCAGTTAATTAAGGAATGTTGTTTCCACAATGAAAAATGTGATGAAAAATTTTCTTGCGATTTCTAATCGTGATTTATATAGTGTCAACTTTGATGTAATTATTATTACCACTATTTAATTAATAACAAGGTAAAATTGTTCCATGTGACCTCGAAAGAGCAAATATTACGTTATGAAGATTGGGGACCAATATGTTAAACACGTCAAAGTTCGGGAACATCCTCATATTAATTTAATAATTTTTTATTACTGAAACGACGCTGTAAGAGACGGACATGCAGTTGGTGAACAAGTTGAAAAAAAATAAAGAATAAAAAAACTTTGCTACTTGTACAGTTTTCATTACACCTTTAGACACGATCCGTCCCGAATCACCTTAATAGATTCGACTCGTGCCGTGCGCCGATGGCTAATACCAGCTAAACGCTGGACTCACCACCAAGGAGATTTTGACTTGCTTAGTTGAAAAATATTTTTAACAAAATTTTAATAGAGTTTCTCTTAAAATATGAACTAAATCACCTGAACAATAATCAATTTTTCCTCAAATCCACACCTATAATATTAATCAGGGTACGTCAGTTCTTCAAAATACAAACTATTCAAATAAAATGTTGGCAAATAAATATTTACCCGCTTTACAACCAACAATTATCAAATATACTAAAGATACTAAATATACAATAAACCCATGATAACATTTTCTAACATAAGCTACATATAACCCAAGAAATAGGTACTACCTAATCTGATGAAATAGGCCATACAACTAATGACGTGTGGCTCAATTCGGCGAATTGGCAAACTCTAATACTGCTCAACTCGGCTACATCTGATATTGAAAAAGGTGAAAAGAAATACGAGCTTACAGCTTAGTGAGTGAATAATTTGCAAATAAGTATACTTTTCTTTTATGCATATTTTCTGAAAATTCTAGCTATATTAAAATTTTGAGACATTCTGAAATTTGGTAACACTTCTAAAACTCAACATGATTGCATTGTAAAATTCTTTGTTCTTAATTCTAAATAAGGAACTGCAAAGTATAATTACATAAATAATTTGATATCCATGAAAATCTATAAAATATTGCTGCTACTCAACATTATAAGCCGAAAGCTTTATTCTGGAAACTGAATTAACTGAATTCTATAATTTGAAATCTAATAAGCTGTAGAAATACTGAAAAATCACACCAAAAAGGTGCCTAATGAATAGCCTTACTCATTTACAGAGCAATCTCGATGTACAAGGCAAAGCCATTCAAATATGATAATCTAATATCCATAAGCTGAACTGTAAACGGAGAAATGTAAGCTGAAGACTAATAATCCACTATATATTTAAAATTCACATCAAAATATACCCCATATAAACATCTACAAATGATCTAAAAGCTATAAAATTATATGCATATAAACTGTCTTATCAATACTCTGTACACGGCCGTAGCCCCTCAGTGCACAAGATGGAAACAATATAATCATCCTTATAAATGGCTGCAGCCCCCAGTGTATAATAGGTACTTTTACCTATGGCCATAGCCCCTTGGTGGATAAGAGTTATCCTTACACATGGCTGTAAACCCTCAATGTATAGGAGTTAAATACATGACTCTAGTATACGGTTGTAACCCCTCAGTGCACTAGAGTAAGATAATTACATCCCTTATTTTCTGATAATTTCAAAACAATCATGCTCATTTACTAATTTCTGGAAAATAAGACATTTCATGTAATTAATATGCTTCTATAAAATAAAAAGAAAATCTGCTTTTTGGGAAAGTAGGTTCTCCAATCACCAAGACAAGTTATAGGCTATGAATGCTAATAAACTTTTCCAATATCTTAGTCACCACCTTGTTGAAATTTGAAATTAAGTAATCCCCAAGCTTGAGCTCCAATTCGTACTTATCTGACCTCTCTTCTTCTTCCCTTTTTCTTCCTTTCTTTCTTATTCTTTTCCTTTTTCGTTTTTCTTTTCCTTTTTTCTTCTCTTTCTCGGCCTTCACGCTTCATTGCCCGATTTTTCTAGTATGTGTGTGCATGTTTTTGGGAGACAAAATGGTCAAAGGTTGAATATAAAGGCCCACTTACTAAAAATTGCAAGGGAAGTTCCTCAACTCCATTTTAATATAACATTTAATCCTTCTAACTTCCCTTAATATAAATGTAAATTCCCAACTTTAAATTATATCCAATTAAACACTCATATATTGCCAATTATAAAATAAACCCCAAATTTTTATTAACTTTGACATTGACTAGTCAATTTTTGATTTTTGACCAAGAAAAATTGAATTGTAACACCTTTAGTGAACAAGTAAAAAAAACTAAGCCGCGTAGCAGAAGCGAAGAGAAATGACTGTCCAACGGGATCTTCGGCCTTCAACTGAATGCCTTTTACATGCATTGAGCACTTTTACATAGCAACTAACGTAAAAATCAAACCCTCACCATATATTAAATGTATACTGTATCTTCATATATGTATATCATGTATTGATTGGGAAAGGAAACATGTTTGGAAATTTTGTTGTTCCTTTTGAATTTTAGGACTCCAATAATTTCAAAGATGCACTCAATTTTAGACAATATGATAATTGTAAAGCGTCTTCTCTTTCGAAGACTCCAGTTGGTTGTAATGTTTTAGTATAAATACATTATTAATATATCATTCTTTTGACATCCAAACCTAGCACTTTCAACCCATTTTTTTTCTTTATATGGTATCATAGCCAAATTAAACTTGCACTTTTTTTCCAGTTCATAAATCCGCAAATGGCCTCACCTGAAACAAATTTCTCTCCCCTCAACTTTGTAAGCAAAGGCACAAATGGATCCTTTAACCTACGTTATCTTCTACCTGCCTCCTTCAAGCTTGAAGGATCTAACTATCTAGGATGGCAATCGTTGTCTCTACCATTTTCCAACCAATTGCGGTCAATGATGGCTCATATAAAGTATTAGTTACAGACACTTGCACAAGGTAGTTGCACCATTTATGACTATCTTCAAATTGCTAAGTGCTAAGGCTCTTGCCGATCAAAGGACTGCAGCGGGTTTTGTCCTCCAATACTGTCATTTTGCACTCATTTTTAATAAGTAGAAGAATAGTCTCTCACAGAAAAAAGAGACCTCCCTGCAAACAAATTGGCCCACACCAAATACTCGAAATGATGGTTCCTCCAATGTCCCGCAATATACACAAGCGTCAATTTCGAATCAGGGACAATATTCACTAGGAAATCGGCCCATATGTCAAATATGTGGGAATACAGGTCATACTGCTCTTGACTACTTCCACATATTTTATTTTTCATACCAAGGCCGACATCCTCGTGCCAAGCTTGCAGCAATGGTCGTTGAATCTAACGGTGCTTATAAGCACCAAGTATGGCATGCTGAAGTTTGAGCACCAAGTATGGCATGTTGAAGGTTGGGCCATTATGTTCTATATAAAGGCCCATTAGAGATGAATTATGCTCCTTTGCCATATAAATGGTGACAAAAGTAGTGATCGATTAGAGATTGCATTATTAGATGCAAAGCCAACAAGACGATCTCGGGTCCCATCAAAAAAGGGAAAAGTAGAACCCGAAAAAGGGGAAAAAAAAATAATCCAACTATTTATCTAAACATTTTAACATTTTATTTTTTAACTACACTTCGACCCAAGTTGAGTTTCGTTTCAACCCATTAGCTATTGAGGTTCTTGATCTTTTCTTTTCAATGCTAGTCTAATTTTTAAAACACTAATTTTACTTGTAAAGTCTCAACCACCTTGATCACTGTCACAAGTTAGCTTCCGTCTGAACCCCATTATTTCAATTTATAATTTCTGAAATATTATTTTTTTGAAGAATGTATGTGAAAAGGGAAAAAAAAGGTTTTTAATTTATGTGTAATATTATTTTATAGAAGATCGTGTGATTGAAAATAAAAGAGAAAAAATTATAATTTGAAATAATGGGAGCCAAACGGGACTAGTTGAATTGAATATGCCTTTAATAAGAAACTAGCACACACTTGGAAATAAAACATATCTTATCCTATTCTATATATATAAAAGAACGAATCTTTGGTGGACACATGTCGCAATTTCAGCTCCGTGCATTTTTTATTTTTTATAATGGGCTTTATTTTGGGCCCTTATTTTTTATAATATGGTATCCAATACGCATTTTAATCAGATTGCTTAGGGCAAATTCAATTTTTTCGACGGAATATTACTCGCCGGCATCGCCTCTTGTTAGGGTTCTATCTCAAAAGTATTTGCCTTTTAGGTTTTGAAGGAAAAAAAGGTTCTTTTCTTAGTTCTTTTGAGAATCAAATTCAGGGGTTTTTCATTTGTTGGCTATTTGTCGAAGCTTTGATTTTTCTACGGCGAGATGAAGCTGCGGTAAAAATTAGATGAAGTCTCAGACAGGTGAATCGAAAGAAGAATGAAGGCAACTGGCGGCAGAACACAACCGGCGAACCCTTCGTATTTATGTTGTATGTATATGCATTTTCTTGATTTCTCCATACAAATCCTTGTAAACATCGTAGATTCTAACATACGTTTTGGTCTTTTTCAGTATACTTTTTGATTCTCATGTTCTTTTAAAAAATTAATAACCTCCAATTGCTTTGGGAATTTTCACAGGCAAACAGAAGAAGGGCATAAACCCAGAGCTATGGCAAGCTTGCGTTGGTCCACTGGTAAACCTGTTGGCAGCTGGGGATTCTTCAGTCGGCTTCGTTTTGCCTCAGAGCCTACTCTTCTTTCACTCAGACATCTCCCAAGGCAAGTTTTTTCAGAAAAAAATTAACTAATATTGCATCTTGATTATGTATAATTATTTAAATTCTGTTGTTGTTATACAGTAATTGCATATTTTATTGACGTTTTAATTGGAAAATTTTGTTGCCCAGATGGACTCTGAGAGCTATATGTTTGGACCCTATAAGATTGACTCAAAGGAAGTGTTTTACTATACAGAGAATGTTTCAATATCGGGCAACGTTGGGCTACTAGCTGCGGCGAGGGCGTTGGAGGTTTACATGCTATTCTTCTTTTTTTCATTTTTGTATTTTCACTAGGGAATTGATACAATTTTCATATTAATGGCGATTAGGAATCAGAGGTTGATCACCAAACTCTCCCCTTTCTGCCCTAAATCCTGTCATTTCTGTCTCTTTTTTTAATAGATGTTTTGGTTTGTCTTCCATTATTTTGTTTATCACCTAATGAATTTTATTGAATGGTGTTGCGTTCATCTATGTGAAGGAATTAGAATTTTCAATTGATATTTGACGGTAATATTTGTTCGGTTCAATTTTGCCAGTCGTGACAGGTTGCATTTTGATTATTGAAGTTTCTCCCAGCCTCCCCTACGCCCATTGAAATAATACTCCCAATAATTATGTAATCACAGTTATCTTCATTGCTTTACTGTGGTTTATGATTTAATGAATTTTTCCAATTCAAGCAGCTTCTGAAAATCCTTTCAAGGGAATTTTTACTGCGCTTCCCAAGCCCGGAGGAAGCGAGTTTGGTAAGTTTTACAGCCTTCCTGCTTTGAATGATCCTAGAATTGGTATGTGACTAATTTTTGCACCACTTGATTTCTACTATCCATTTTCCATTTATGTTTCATCTCCTCTTCTAATTGATATCATGAGTTTTTGGCGTTGCTGGAGACATTTTAGGCTATTCATGAGATGTCTAGATAATTTTTATCATATTGAGTGTTGATGTTTATGTTTATTTTACTTCAAAATGAATCTTACATTTCTTATCTGTGACATTTTAGGCCATTCATGAGTTGCATTTGAATTATATTCTTATGATATGTGCTTTGATGATCTGAATGCGCTCAAAGTTGTTGCTTTAATGTGCAATTTTCAAAATTTTCTCATGTGAGGTGTTGTTAGATTACTCTATGACGAGACTTTGGCAACGATATTAATCTCCCCTTCACATGTTTGTCAACCCATTTACTGCAATAGACTGAAAACCAATAGTTTAGGGCGGAAATAAGAGGATCAAATTCATCTTGAGGAGTATGTATGATTTCCTTTATTGTATAGGTTCCAAAGTGCAGTTCAAATCTTAATTTTGAAGTACTGGAACGAAGTGGTTGGTGGAATGAAAACATTGGAAACCTATTGAAACTTTTTATCTTGTTAGTTGAAGCACTCATGTTTCTTTAAGCCAATGCACTAAAACACGTAGTCTGTTGCACTTCTATTTAATCTTCAAATTTTTTTTTTAATGATCATTTAGCGTATGTTTGGGGGGTGATTATAATTTGTTCAAATTATAATTAGATAGAAACGAGTGGTAAAATAAATGAGGAGTACATGTTGGTCCCATTTGATAAAAAGTAGGTTTGACTAGAAGTGATTGAAAAAATACGTACCACACATGCTTTAATTCAACCGTATGCAAAAAAATTTCAATGCCTCTTCCTTTTCTTTTATTTACACCGCAATAAAGTTTACAACTCCAGTATTTTGTCTGAAAGCATCAGTGGAAATCTTTTCTAGGATTAACCGACACCTTCTTATGATGTGTAAGATACACTTATTTTGTCCCATTATACATAATCTTTGATAGAGCTTTTGCTTAGGGGGAGTGTTGTTTAGTCCTTCACTTTTAATTGCGGTCATTGTAACCCTTCAAAGCAAGCACTGGTTTTAAGCTGTGGCAAATATTAGCTTTATAGGAAGTGTATAAGTATTAATTTATAGTTCCATTTTCCTGTAAGCACTACGCGTGGATCAAATGATACTAAATGCCAGATATGATAAAGTGTATTTTGCACGTATATGAGCGGATTGTTAGTAATATGGTAATACCTTTATAATGACATCAGAGAAATCATTTTCACGGTCCACGAAGTGTTTTTCTTTAACGTTCGTCATCAAGCAGTTAATTTGGTTTGTTAGTTTTTAACATTGAACATGTATCCTTGAGCAGTCGGTAAACTTATGTACCACATATCTCTGTGTAAAGCATTAACAATGTGTGTGAGAGAGAGAGAGAGAGGGAGGGAGGGAGGGAGTGAATTATGATTTCATCCGAACCCAGTGGGAGAGTTGCATGCACCACTAATCCAACTGTAGTCCATCCCTATCTGTTCAGTGTTATTTACTTTGCAGTGCATCATATTTTTGGGTCCAAAACATTTGCTGTGGTAAATTATCTCTAACTTTTATTTTTGGTATGGGAAAGTATAGTTATTATTTTCAATTGAGTGCAAACATGAGAAATTTGCTCAAGAAGAAGCTAGCTGATGCTGATGTATAAGATAAATATCAAAATTACCTATTCAAATTTTTAGAGAAGAATGAAACTGAATATATGCGCATTCAGAGACACAAAATGGGTGTTGATGATTTTGAGTTACTGACAATGATTGGAAAGGGTGCTTTTGGGGAGTTAAAGATTTTTGCTGAAAATATGACTGACTTGACCAAATGATAAGATCTCTATTATCAATAATTAGTTCCGCATTTACTATCTAATATTTGATATGCAAAATTTATAAATCATGTACAAAATGTCAAACTTCATTCTTAAGCACACATTCTAATAGATCCAAAAGTATTATCCACAACCCATTTATAAACAGACCGTTTATAAATTCTTCCAACCGGACTTTGTACTTCAATTTTTTCCTGTCCTTTTTTATGACCATCTAAAAGTCATTATTGTCACTTGGGTGTAATAGCTATATGTTTTGATGCTAAGCATAACATCTAAATATGCCAATCGTCTTGACATATTGCCCTTCACCAATGATGAAGAGCCAAAGAGGCACTTCTGTTTTTGTCTCCTTGATGCCTCATACACACCATAGGGTAATATATTATACTGGGAGTCTTTAATGAGTACACTTGGGTGAAATAACTATTAAAAGCTGAATACAAAAGGTGTAGATGTTACTAATGCATATAATGATTCCGAAGTTGTTTCAACTGTGTAGTTTATTACTGCTTGAGATTGTGAACATCTGAAGCAATTTGCCTTCGAGTTCACATGACTCCTTTTGTTACCTCTCTCAATAGAAAACATTAATCTCTATGTTTTGATCATTTTCTACATGGCCAGCTTATTGAATAGTATTTGACAGGGTAGACATCCCTTCAAAGTGTGTTGTAGTATTTGTATGGCAGCATAAAGTAAATGTCTTGCGAGGTTATGGGTGTTGGGTTTTGAATCCAAAATCACCACCATATATTAATGTGTGGAATTAATAGGTCCTAAATAACTATGTTAACTAAATGCCAAAGTATGTTGTTTTCGTTCGCTTATTTAGTTGATTAATTAGTGCAATTACATTCAAGACAATGGTATCTCCAACTTTGATTAATTCTATTTGGGAGTGCTTGATAAATGCAATTTGTGCACTTATTTAGGCCACATTATTAAACTTTAAGTCATTAAATTATTAATTTATATTTAACTTTGATCAATTTTCTTTTTATTTTCAGTGATGGACTTGCCGGAAGCAATTGGAGAGAAAAGGACGATTATCGAATAAAAATGCAATTTTGGGATCAAACTCAACGTGCTAGAAATTAAAAGACTTAAGTGCATTAATTATAAGGAAATGAGGCCTTGAAAGATAAATTGTACCTAATTGGGCCTCAAATAAATGGAAAGTGAAAAATAATATTTGGGCCTCAATAATTGTAGAAAATGGGCTGCCTTGGGATTTATAAAAGATAGATAGAAAACGGCAGCCAGGAGAAAAAGGAAAATGGAAGAAAAACCTAAAAGAGAATTTAGTCTTCTTTGGGGAGTCAACAAAAACGGCTGCTAGGGGGGAGAAAAGAGGAGAATTTGGACGGCTGCTGGTAGAAAGAAATTGAGTAACAGTAGGGCTGCCAAACTATATTATATATATACACATTGGGAGGCCGCTAACGGAGTTGCTGGGGAATTAAAAAGGCAGCTGCTTGGAGGAAAATAAAAGTTGGCGTTGAAAGTCAGGCATTGCAGGCTGTGGGAAGAAAGGAAGGGAAGAATTCTTGGGGCTTTGCTTTGGAATTCAATCACAGTGGCCAGCCAAATTAAAGGAAGCAAAACGGGAGAATAATCTAGAGAAAACTGGTCCCTTTTTGGTAACAGTAGGGCTGCCAAACTATATTATATATATACACATTGGGAGGCCGCTAACGGAGTTGCTGGGGAATTAATCTATAGACAAAAAGGCAGCCAATTGGGGGATTAATACACATTGATACACACGGAACCGAGAGGAAGAAAAACCATAGAAAAGCTGGTTGGAAATAAGAGATTTCACATTGGATTCCAAGAAAGGCTGCCGGCTGAGTTTTTTGTGCAACTTTCTTCAATAATTGTGCAAGGAGCTTGAAAATTGAATCACTTCCCGTCGATTTTCGGTGATTTCCTTCCACTTTTATTTGTTTAATTCAACATGATGCTAGGCTAAATCTTTACATATTTGCGCACCATTAGGATAATAAATTGCTTATTCGTAGTGTTGGAAAACTCATGATAGCTAGAGAACTATTATTAGGACACACGGACAATAAATATTAGGAATAATATTTGTGACGTTTATGATTATATGTGAATTTTTAAATGTCAATGCATGTTTGCCATATGAATTTGGATTAGGAATATGATCGTCTTGTGGTAATCATAGGTTTATCATATCTTAGAAAAGAATAATAAATAAAAGTGAAATTATCGATTGTCGCAATGGCAAAAAATTTACGTAGTTATTACTGGTTGAGAATTAGAATTAAGTATTGATCATTGGCGTCAAAAATCTAATACGTTGACACATTTGATTTTTAAACCAACTTTCATTGTTTTCGCAAGTTTTAGTTATAAAAATTCGTTAGCTATTCATTCGATCTTTTTTATTACAAACACGAATTTAAATATATCAAATATATTAGAATTGATCATTATTTCATGTGGGACAATAACTCTTTCATCATGATCATTACTTATACAACGAACCCATATGTTTGTGAAATTTTGACGAACAGTGCTTATTAACTCTAACTTTAACCTATGTTTGTCTCTTTCTTTTCTACTGCATTAAATATTAGCATCAAGTTTAGATTAAATTGATTTCATATACTTCTATAACAACTTAATCTACTTTGGTCCGGTGTAAATATAGGTGCTGACCTTTTATTCTACATTTTCTGAAAGGGATTGCTTTTGAAGAAGAATGCAAAATTTCTGAACTTTAAGAATGATTTTTGTTTTTGGAAATGGGATTGCTTCTAACAAAATCCATTGCTTTGAGACCTGTTTTTTTTTGTAAGTCAGTAAATCTTGTTTAACACGGTCATCCATATTTTATAGGCTCTTCAACATGCAAAAGAAGCCCTGAGGTTACGAAAGAAGCTTTTAGCTAAAATGTTTTTTTTACTTAATTGTGAAAAGGAAAGAATTTTATGAATAAGAGTGGAAATGTTAAAGGAATACATGAGTATTGAGGCGTTAGAGATTTCTTATCTAGTAACGATTGATTTTTTTTTGGGGGGGGAGCAATTCTTGTGAATTTGACTACATTATTACTCCTTGGAATGTACTTAGCATTTACCTTGATCGCGTCTTTTAGGTATAGAATTCTTTAATTCAAATATTTTGGTTAAAACTTTATATGAAATAATGTTTCTGTTATATATCATTATTTTATTTCAATTATTTGTGAGTCAGAGGTTGCAAGCATAAATGAGAATATAGGAATTGCGCAAGAAGCTCAAACTTCTTTACTATGGGAAAAAGCATCTTCCAATTTCAGGTTTGACACTTTTTGGAATTTATTTTTCTTCTATGTTCAGATGATTGCTTTATTTTTTTTCCCCTTACTTTATCATAATTTAACCAAAGATATTAATGGTATGTTTGATTGCAAGTATGAAATTTACATGAAAAGAAAATAATTTCTAGGAAAATTGTCAATTAAAGTGTTTGATTGATTTTATTTTCAACCTAGAAAATGTTATACTTGTCAATTTTTTATTAATAGGTAAATAGGAGAGAGGGGGAGGGAGTAGATGAGAGAGAAAAAAAGAATGAATTACCTAGAAAATAAAAATCTACTCTCGAGGAACATATTTTCCTTGTTTTGAAGGAAAATATAGTCATGTGACCAAAAGTAGGAAAATATTTTTCATGGAAAAAATCAATCAAAATAGCTATGAAGTAGGAATTTGGGTAGAAAAATATTGGAAATTAAACGCACTATTAACTTATATTAAAACTTTATCCTGAAGATTATACGGCAAAAGGTTTTGTTGGAGCCAGTTAGAAAATGTGTTATGTAGTATATGATAATCGCGCAGTTATTACTTGTACGAAATGTTCAAATTCTCTGAAAGTGACAATTAATTAGGAAACGAGAGATTTACTTTTATGTAAATCTTATAGGAATGTAGAAAGGTCGCCTATCAATGAATTATATCGTGTTAAATATATGTACATATTGACATTAAATAAGTTAATTTCTTCTGAGTGGAGGCATGTTGACTATAAGTCATTGGATAAGAGAGTTCATTTGATGATTGTGTAAAAGAGACTCAGAGCTTGTTTGAGAGTAATTTTTCATCCCAAAAAAATTGATCTTTTGATCGTTATTTCACTATTCCAGCTGTGAAGTTTGACTTCTTCTCTCATGGGTGGCTCTCACTTTTCTCCCAACGGTCACAAAATTAATTTTCAAAATCATTCCCAAACGGGGTCTAAGAAGAAATTACAGTATGATATACTCGATCTTGTATTGACTAGTTTTGAGACTAATCAAATTTATCGCCTTTGTGACTAGATATGTTGGCGGTGTGTTTATCTTGAAACTGTTAAATTTGATTCTTTGAGGATGTTTATATACATGAACTGTGACCTTGTCCAAAAAAAGCTTTTTCTAAAGCTACTGATTAGGTTGGGTAATATGATATTTAATTATTTTCAATTTTTAATCGGTCCATGTTTTTCTATTTATCTTATCAAATTTAATCCATTAGTACTTGCTAGCATTTGAATATATGAAATTGTACAGTAAATTGCAAGTTCTGCCATATAAGATATTGTAAAAAAATTGGTAATATACCATCGTTTACGCTTTCTTTAATTACGACTTTATCCTCCTCCTAGCATAGCCTCATGCTTTGATCCAAAAATTGACTAAGGATAGAAGCAAGCTACATGCATTAGAAACCGCTTTCGTTTTATGGAAATGGGATCCCCAATAGCTAGAGACAAAAGATTCATATGAGAAAACATAAGTAAATGGGCCTCCACCTGAGCCTCCAAAGATAAAGGTACATGAATAGCCATTTGATCCCTATCAAAATCTGCATTGAATTCCTTACAAACTAATGGATGTAAACAAATAGCGTGCCCTTCACTAAAACGGGCTGGAATGCTTGTATGCCTAATCTATGTAGAGTGGGTGCTCTAATCAGCAATACAGGATGCCCTTGCATAATTTCCTGAAGCATTTCCCTTACAATCTTTCCTTTTTCCCGAATTTTACTCTTAGCAACTCCTATGTTCGGAGCAAGATGTCTAATTAGACCATGAATTACAAATGTCTGGAAAAGCTCTATTGCTATTTCGCGCTACAATCCACATCGATGTAATGAAAGTGAAGGACCCACGACAATGACGAAACGACCTGAATATTGGGTTATCCATTTTTTGTAAGTTATTATTTAACCTCATTATTTGAAATTTTAGAGTAATGCTATATAGCCACATTGAGTTGCAACCCTAGTTTAGCTGATTTTAGATGATAGACTAAATGAAAGGTAAAATTAAATGACTTATTTAATTCCACTTATTATTTAATGTCTAGTTAACGCCACCTAGACTGGGGCTGTAACCCTAGTGGGGTTAATAGGATTACTCAAAATTATATGGTTGGGATATTGTTGTTGATATTGGGATTTTTTTTTTTAAATTGTGTGATTGAAAAAGAAGAAATTTTTTTGGGATTATGTATAATATTATTTTATTGAAAAATGTATATTTGATAAGAAGATAGAGAAAAATGAATTATAATTTTAATAGGGCTAAACACGGGTTAAATAATGTATGCAAGTTGCAGAGCTTGTAAAGATTGTTTTCTCAGATGGTAATAGTCATTATCTTTAATCATACCATTTTTTTATTTAACATTTAATTGTATTTATTATGCTGGGAATTTTTGGGACTTGTATGGTGAAAAGCATTTGGCAGATCAACTTTTTCGAAGTACATCAATTTTGTTTGGCAATAGTTCATCGTGTTCCCATCAAATTTCTACGCCTAATGCTTTGTTTACTAACTTGATTAGAATCAATTTTCCTAGGGATGTGTTAGCTGTTGAACAAGCCAATTTGCTGTGTTATATATGTAGGTTCACTTTTAATACTCATCCGGAGACCAGATATATAATAAAAATATTTTTGATCTTCATGTTACCAATAATATAAATGATTGTTTTAATGTATCTTGTTATTGTAAAGTAGAGTACTTTGTATTGATATTTGCACATCGAGAAAGGTCATTTATACTTAAGTCGGCCTTTATAATTTGTTGTGACGTTTCTATACTTTTTCAAAAGGTTAGACTGTGATTTTTCTCCCATTGTTGTTATTTAAATGCTAATGTAATGAGAGAGGAATGTTTCACCTTTACTTAATGAATTTCTTCTTTTTCCTTTTTTAATTAAATTTAAAATAATGAATTATGAAAATTGGCTTCATATGCACCAGCCTTTGTGCAGGGAAGGCATGTGTGCAGGCTAAGATGAACATATTTTCGTTTGCTTATTTTCATAAATTTATAATTATGCTACTCTTCAAATACACTCTTAAGCACTTTGAAGCTATGTTCTTAGAATTTAACTCATTGAGTTGTTGTTTGTCTATCATTCTCCAAAAATTCTTTTTTTTTTTTTCCTTTTTAAACCCATTTTCAATCATACATTATCATAATGAAATATTTTGCATGTGAATTCAAAATTTTTCTTACCTTTCAACCACACATTATCAGAAAAATACTATTTCAAAACTTATTCTCCCAAAAAATTCTTTCTAATATGCATCAAATAAGTGTTGATGTCGATATAATAAGATTGTATTGTTCTTCTATTG